CGTGGGGGTCTCCGGGGGAAGGAGGGGACCCGAAGCAGAGATGGCCTGGCACCGTGCCTGTGTCTCTGCACTGAGGGCTACCGGCCCCGGAGCCACATCCCAGGGCCAGGCTTGGCAGTGTCACCAGTGGGGCACCCAGTACACGGGCGTCCCGGGTGTCCTGAGGAGAAGCCACCCCAGGAGCTCCCCACTGTGCGTCCCCACCAGATGGGAAACTAGAGGGCAGTCAAAGCTCGGGAGAGCCTGGGCCAGCAAGCGGCGGCTGCGTGCCCAGCAGAGGGGAGACGGGACCCCGAAACCCTGGCCGAGGGGAGATGGAACCTCTGAACCCTCACCAGGAGCAAAAGGGGTGGCATGGAGACCCTGTGAGTGATAGGAAGGTAGGGGTAGGAGACAGAGCAGATAGAGGGCTGCGAGGGATGGGGAGCACCCCAGAGCCAGGGGAGCACCCCAAATCCAGGTGAGCATCCCAGGTCCAGGAGAGCACCCCAAATCCAAGTGGGAACCCCATGGCTTCCCCAAGAGCCAGGGGAGTATGTCCAGGGCCGGGGAGCACCCCAGGGAAACCACCAGGGTCTCCCCAAAATCCAGCTGAGCACCCCAGGGCCTCCTCTAGGTCCAAGTGAGCACCCCAGATTCAGGAGAGCACCCCAAATCCAGATGGGCACCCTAAGGCCAGGGGAGCACCTGAAACCACAGATTTTTTTCACCACTGAGGAACCGCGGGGCAGTGGGGAGCCAGAGCCATGGTGGGGCACCACGTGCACCCCCCAAGGGGCTGCTGAGCTCTCCTGCTGGGGGTCCCCCGAGGCCCAGCACCCCGCAGCACGCAGCCAGGGTGGGGGGCCCTGTGCATCTTGCCAAGCCCTACCAGGCTTTCGGCCACCTCCTCTGCCCGCCGTGGCATCATCTCAGGAGGAGCCTCCATGGGCTGTGGACTTTGGTGGCACTGCATGGGGACCAGGGGGGCAGGGGCAGGCGGGGGGGCCTCTTGTACCACCCCATGGGGATGTGTTGGGCTCCCCTAGAAGCCCATGGAGATGTGCTGGGCTCGCCTGTCACCCCATGGGGACACGCTGGGCTCCTCTAGTACTCCATGGGGATGTGTTGTGCTCCTCTACCACCCCATAGGCACATGCTTTGCTCCCCTGCCACCCTATAGGGATATACTGGGCTCCTCTAGAGCCCCATGGGGATGTGCTGGGCCCAACTGGGGTGCACTGGAATGATGTCGGGGTGGGGGAGCAGATTCAGGAGTGGCTGGGGGG